CTCCCTAAGGATTGACAACCGGTGAGTGCAGACAGGTACTTCCAGCCCTGGAGAGGGGCAGCCTGGGAGAGACATTGGTGTCCAGGAAGCAGAGAGATCATGGACTCTCCTGCCAGTGCCTGCCTATAGCCATCTGCAGTACAGAGGTACTCAACAAGAGGTATGGGTGGTGGGTGGGCCACTGCAGAGGGAAGCCCACTGCTGGAGCATGGAGGTCGTGTGCCTGAATCTGGTCAAAGCTGCTGCCAAGTAGGTGCTGGGCAGGTGGAGGGGGATCCAGAGGGCCAATCCCTTGAAGAGCGGAGGGTGATGTCATAGGGCCCCAAAGGGACTGTTTCTTTCCTCTTTTCCTTTTTCTTTTGATTTGGATTTAATTTGACTGCCTGATTTTGGGCAGGAACAATAAGGGCTCTGACTTAAAGGGACAGGTAGGGCAAAGTGCCCCAACAGGATACTTGCCTTGACACTGATCTAGGACCTCAATTTTGGGGACACTGAAGCATGAACTCTCCTTTTGGCTGTTAACTGCCTTGTGAATTGACTGCTGGAGATAAGATCTAGGACAGTACCGCTTCCCCCACCCCTGGGAGTTTGAGTAGCAAGAGCCTGACTCAATGAGTTTTTCCTGGCCCCTGGCCATCTTTGAGTAACCCTACTTTGGCCAGAAGGGGTCTGTGCCCTGAAAAAATCAATCAGACCCAACATCCAGTGTGTGGTAAGGGTGGGTATAGGGAAGGTGGAGCCCCACGATTACAATGTTCCTGAATCAAGATGGAATGCATATTCTGAAACATGTAGCACCAGATCCTGTTCCATCTCTTGGGTACCTAAATGAACTTAGGCACTTAAAGGCAATTAGATTCTATTCTGCTAAAGTCCATAAAAATGCATGAATGCATATTTTGTAATATACCATCACATTAACTTTTAGATTGAGTCACAAAAAGGCAAGGAAGGAGCACTTAGCCACCTTTTGTAATAATGTTTTTTTCCATGACTTAAGTAGGGTGGAATAGGATAATGCTTTGGTACCCAAGTCCACTTGTGTGCCTAACAGGTAGAATAGATTCTGGCCTACAGTATTTGGCTAGGGACAAAGTTACACATAAACTGGTTTAAGTGATCAGAACCTGATTTAAACCTGTAACAGAACAGAAGCTCAGTGTACATAAATCAGTTTCAAAACTGGCTGAAACTGGTTTAAGATAAACCTGGCTGAATGTAGTATCAAATTTTACTGATTTGGGTCAAACCGGTTTATGAAACTTCTGTCCTAGACCCCTTCCTGGTTCAAGTTAAATCACAGTCCCCCAGCATCCCAGCATGCTTTGTAGCCCTGGGCTGTGCTGTGCTATCTGCTCCAAAGAGCAGGGCTGGCCCCATGCCTCTGCTCCCTAGCTAGAGTAGTGAGGGCTGGCTGACAAAGGGGTGGGGGAAGGCAAGCCCAGAAGAGGATGCAGCCCAGTCTACAGGGGGAAGACTGCCCCCCCAGGCAACCTCTGGTTGGAGCCAGGGAGAGGAGTTAAACACCCCTTTCCCTGCTCAAACTTAGTGCTGACAACTGTGCACTACAAATCCCAGAGGCACCTGGAAGCAAAAAGAGGAAGTGATGAGCAACCCTGCAGAGTCCTGCTGCTGTAATTCTGTACTGCAAATCCCAGAGACCTTGGGGGCAGTAGGAAGAGGAAGTGAACACACAGCCAGAGACCTGTGCTCCAGCACCCCTTGGTTTCTGGCCTGATCCACTGCAGGCATGTGGCTGCATTTCCTGAATCAAAAGGTAAATGTCTGCTCACTTCTGTTTCAATTTAATCTGTGCACCTTAGACTAACCTGCAAAGACTGAATCGATTCAGCCGCAGGCTTTTTGACTGTCTGTACCTAGCCTTTATGACCTGCATCTTATAAGAGGACAGTAACAGCCAGTTAGGAAAATTTGAAAACTTCTACCCCATGTCACCTTAAAAATCATCATTGTATTTAATAAAAAATATTTTAAAGCCCCTCAAAGATAAAAGTAGCCCAGCTACCAATTTCCCCACTGATTTTTTTCCTTATTTATTACCATGATTTTTAAATTTTAGTCATCAATACTTGCATTAGAAAAGTTTTGCTAATCTCTAACATAGGTTGAATGAAAAGATAGCATTTGTATAGGTAAAATTGCAATAGCTAGTAGTCATATATTAAAGATATCCAAACAGTAGATGTATTTCTAGAGTTTTTCTACCCTTATTTTAATTATCGTATTTTAAAAAAACTGTCTCTTACCTCATTCTATTTTTCCCTAAGTAAGTTTTGTGAATCTCTCTTCTTTTGATATATGAAAAAAGACGTTTTACATGATGATAGCTACAATGAAACAAAGATTTCCTGAATAGGCCTTATTTTCTTTATATTTAAAAAAAAAAAATCAATCACTACGTGACAGCAGGGTGACTACAAGCTCCACCCTCAGGCCACTCATGTCACTGGCCCGCCCCTACCCAGGTCAGTCCACCCTGTTGTTAAAATGGGAGGCTGCCCCAATTGTGGCCCTGGTGTACTGGGCCAAATACACGGCTCTGCACCATCCCTACACCATGTCCCATACCTCACAGATGGCATCCAAACTGCTGACAACTCTGGCCTCTTGCTGGGGTAAATTCTGCCTCTTGCTGGGCCTCTAACACTCTGCCCTTTGCCAGGCCTCAATCACTCCACCCACTCCTGGCCCTCACCACCCATTCTTCCCTACTCCATGCAATCCTTCAGGTCCTACCCCTGCCCATGGTCCTTTGGGCTACATTACTTACACACTCCAGCTGGCATATGCACAGTCCTTCAGGCCACCCACAGGCCCTAGTCAATGTGGCCTCTGGCTTTCTGCCCCACACTGGGCTGAACTCAGCCTCTAGTGCCTCTCTGGGCCACTACTCTGCCCCTCATAGGGCCACTGCTCCGCCCCACACTGGGGCCAGTACTCTGCTCCACACTGGGGCCACTGGTCTTTACAGTCCTTGGGCCTCAGGCCCCACTCAGTAGGCCTTGGCCCCTGTTTCAGGCCCCATGCAGTGGACCTGGGCCCTGTGTCAACCCAGGACTAACAGGAACCTCCTCCATCCCCATAGTTCCTACCCTAACCTCCAGGTATTCCGGGAGCTGCTCTCCTCAGGCTATGTGATATTGCTCCACTGGCTCCCTAGATGCAACTGCCAGCTCAGCTCCTATGGCCTGGGCTTATACCCTGGATGCCCAGCCCTCATCCAATCTGGAATGCAGTCATGTGACTGCCTAATTGGGCTTAACCGCACCTGCCAGATGCTCCACAGCCTGCTTAAACCTCTTAAAGTGACAGGCACAAGTTGGGCTTTGCCACACACCACAGTATTTTTGCACATTAAGCTGAAAGGAGAAGGGGTCTTATTTTAGCTACCATGAACTGCTTCCAAATAAATTTTCATGCTGAGTAAAATTCACAAATACGGTTCGAATGTAATCACCTTTTAGTCTTTCATACATTTGGCTTAATTATCTGTGCCAATCTCTTGCTTCAGGATAGTTCTGTATTCCTGACACAGAATACTTCAGAATAGTTTGCATGACAAAAGAGTCATGAGGGAAATCTTCACTCTATTAAAATTAGTTAAAGTTCTGCCAAGATTTCATCCCTGCTATAGATGTGGGAGTTCATTACTTGTAGCCTCCTTATTCTTGGATTTACCTTTCTATCCTAATGAACTCTTCCTGCATCCACCTCTTCCTTTCAACTTCCGGTTTAAAATTTAATTATTCTACAATGGTCACTAATGTACTACACAACAAAAAAACTACAACAAACAAAAAAAAATCTAAGTACCTTGCCTACATTTCCCCATGTATTTTTAATTTCAAACAAATTTCTCTATTACTCCACTGAAGAGGAAATTTAACTTTTGTGTCTTGTACAAAAGCACAAACAAAGTTGGCATTAAACTGCAAAATGAATAGTAAGGGCCACTTTGGGATGCAACAAAAGGATACTATGAGGAAGAAAACCCTAAGCCCTATCATCTCCATCAGTAAGAAAGAAACAAAATGAATACTTGGAATCAATTACTTTTAATCTTTACAGAGTATGTTTCCCTTAATTTCCCTTAGTTTTCCTTAAAGAATATCTTTACAGAATATTTTTACAGAAAAGGGACTACGTAGTAGAAAACCAAAGTCCATGGATGGATTTAGAGGTCTCATTGCTTTGAAATCAATGCCTGTTGTGGAGGCCAGGTATTTAGTCTCCAGAGAGAATAAATATATTGCTTACAGGGCACTTATACTCACCAGTCCATGCAGCAATCTTGTTGGCTTTGAAGGAAGCCAACTGTCTTGCTGTCCCAGCCAGAGGTAAAGAATTGCTTTGGTGACCACTAGAGGGAGGATGATTAGGAATACCATAAATTGTGGGCAAAAGGCACCCATGATGAAATCACCTGGGACCACCCAAATATCCCCCACCACTGCCAATAGAAAACAGTCCTCAGATACTGCTATGGCCTGGGAAATATCATCCAACTGTGAGCTATCTGCTAGAGAAAGGCTACCAGTATGCATGCTTTGTTTTGGTAGCTGGAGGATAGGAGGTCCTGGCTAGGATCACATGAAGCACGCATACACCAATTCCTTTGTTACAGATGCCTTCTATTTGCCTTCTGATTCTTGTTCATTTCATTTCTTAAATCATCAGATGTCCATTATAAAGAAAGCTTCTGTGAAAAGCAAACATCTTAGCTTCAAGAGAATCTCAGGGAAAGCATCTGCAGACAGAAACTCACTGTGCCAGAATGTACTGTTTTAATTTTAAAAATCCACACAAATTACATGAGGTTGAAAACATACGATAATCAAAATATTTTCTTTCACCAACTTAAAGCTTGATGAAGATCTGAAAAAAATGTTTCAATTAGTTACTGAAGCAAAGATGCAGCAAAGCATGTTATGCAATCCAGCTTACCCTTCAGATTGGTTGTCTGGTACATCTCTTACCTCCAGCACACGTGGCAGAACATTCTGACCAGGGCAGGTGATTCCATGCAAAGCCAACTTCATTGTCTCCACTTCCAGTGCGAGAGATGGGAACATTAAATTTATACCTTAGCCCCAAATTCTGTTCCTGTAGTAAAATCTGCAGTTGAAAAGAACTGGTTATCCCATTAAAACAGGCAAGCAGAGAGCAACTAAAATGGTATTTTTAATCTGAGTGTGTGTTATATATTGCGAACAGAGAAAGTAGTAAAAATGCCACAATAGTTCATTGAGGCCTTGCAGAAAGAAATCTCAACTAATTTTTTAAACACACACACAGTTTTTTCTCTTTTGCATGAAGTGAGATTTTCTTCCTTCAAAATTTTCCTTAAGGACAGAAATTGTGAATTTTCATTGCTTTTTAATATACCAACACTTCCAATCATGCAGGTCTCATAAAATTCCTGTGTACTTCATGACTTTCTCAAGGCCCAAAATAACAAAAGACCATGTTGTGGCTGACTGTACAACTGTTTAAAAAACTTTTTCCATCCTCCATACTGAGTTGTTGTACAGGGAAGTATCCACACAGTGGCTAGGGAGCTAACAAGGATCTCACCTGATTATATCTTAGGCATTACTGTAACAACAAAAATGATAATTCAGTTTATTATCAACAATAGCTCTAGGATCCACGAAGGTGCAGAAAGTATGGAAGCATTCCCATGACTCCCTAGGTCTAGTTAGGCAGATGGGCAAGCACAGACTGATGCCCTGAAAGGGAAGGAAAGCTCCTGCTGTGAGCGGTTCATCACAGATCCCAACATAGAACTATGCAGAATCATCACTAATTCTTGTTGTTTACAATATATCCTCATACCACCTGCCCAACACAGTACTGGCAAACAAACAAGCCCTGAATCACCGACATGACAACATCTTATTACTGCCACTAGCTTTTACCATACATATTAACATGACTCTCAGAGATATTTTTACTCTGTCCCGCCTCCAGTTACAGTTGGTTAAGGCATCTGTACCTCTATAAGGGAGAAAAGTGTGGAAAACTTCCAGTAGGGAAGTCAGTAGTGTTGAGCAGCTGAGAAAAGCAGATATGCAGCAGGCAGCATAAAAAAGAATTCTACTCAAAGCAAAATAATTTATTTAAAAAAATCCACACAAATTACTTAGTCTTAACTCACTTTGCAAAACACTACACACTCATAACATGTTTAAACCTACTGAAATTTACAGGGCTAGTGATGGAAGAAGAAACTACTCCACACAGGTAAGAGCACCCACTCCAGTACAATTATCTCACCTTATACATTGATGCTTCAGCATAAGGTATGGGCAAACTGTAAGTCTAGTTCACAATTTCATAGTTTCATAGGGCTTAGGATCAGAAGGAGCCTAAACAGAGCATCAGGTCCAACCTCCTGCCCCGGGCAGGTACGGGAGCTGCGGTCATATCATCCCAGCCAAATCATATCACGCCAGCCATATATATATATCTGTCCAGCCTCCTCTTGAAGACTCCCAAGGTAGGAGAGAGCACCACCTCACTTGGGAGCCCATTCCAGAGCCTGGCAACTCTGACTGTAAAGTAGTGTCTCCTGATGTCCAGCCTGAACCTTCTCTCTAACAATTTGTGGCCGTTATTCCTAGTAATCCCGGGTGGTGCCTGAGAGAACAGAGCCTCCCCCAATGCTCACTGGTTCCCCCTGGTGAGTTTGTAAACTGCCACCAGATCCCCTCACAGCCTTCTCTTGTGGAGACTGAATAGGTTCAGGCCCTTTAGCCTCTCCTCCGAGGGCCTGCCCCACTACCCTTTGACCATGCGAGTGGCCCTCCTCTGGACCCTCTCAATGCTAGCCACATCCCTCTTGAAGTGCAGCGCCCAGAACTGGACGCAGGTAAATTTATGTTACCATTGCACTGAGGACCTGTGAAACGCATTAGACTAGATGGGAATCCTTATTTACACTTCTTACAGCATCACGGAAATAAATTAGTTCATTGCTTTGTCCTCTTTTTCACCACCATAGCTAACCCATCCGTATCCAAAGCCCCCCGCCCCAAACTGGTCAAGTATTTTTACTCAGTTTTACTCAATTCATGGCCCCAAAACACCTGGAACACAAATGCATAGTTTAGAGTTCAGAAAGATATCAATTGTAACTTTACCATGACTATCAGATTTTCTGAAGTGGGGCCTAAAGCCTCCAAAGATTCAGGTTCATCTGTTGGTCTCTTGTAATGGAAAGCTGTCCCAGCAACATCAAACTTTCTAGGCCAGTCAATAGTCCAGGCACCATTAATATAGTAGTCATCCTCTTCAGATTTTAAAGCTTAAAAAAAAATACAAGCCACCTAAAAATTGGAAGCAGCATTTATAATAGAGAAGCCATTGCAAATTAAGCTACTAATCTGACAAGGTGTATGTGAACTTCAGTTGTATACCACTATTTTCAAAGCAATGTAAAACCTTTTCCTTGGAGTAGAGTGGCCAGTGTGGCCCAGGGAATTCTACAATACTGACTCTGTCATCATCTTCACTATGCAGGTGTGATCTACAGAGACTACAAAGGTCAACATGTACAGGCCATACAAATCAAGATAGAGTAGTGCGTGCTAGAATTGTATCTCTGCTGAGGGGACCTGCAATCTGCTCTTTTATATTTAAAAATTTGACATGGCCCTTAAATTCATGACAATTTGTGAGCAAAATTCAAACAAAATTTATAACCCATGCCCTTTAAGTATAACAATCAAAAGCATAACAAATAAAACAATAGATGGAGAAGTTTCAAATCTGGCAGGTGTAGTTTCAAATAGGCCCCTAGCAGCATTTGCCTTCTTATCTTTGACCTTTGCTATTCAACTTTAGAAGCATGCACCCAGAACGAATATGTTATTCAAAATAAAACACCTATTCTCAACCCAGATGATTTCTCAGTATCCCTGTTGTAAGGTCAGATAGTATGGAAGATAGTTATCTGTTCAATCGTAGAATAAAAATGTGGCCTCTATTTTAGCATTAGAACAAGTCAATTGGACATTCTATTCCCAGTGAACATACAAATTCAATTACAGTCCATATTATGGTTAAGCAGAATATCTACCTTTTAATAAGAAAAATATCAAGTTGCTGAAAATAATTTATGTCAGCAGGAAGTTAGTAATAAATACCAATACCTTAGTCAACTTTAACTTAGTAAACGAAACATTGGCTATTTTTTTTCTTAACATATTTGGTTATTTCATCATAAGATGTTATCAACAGAGCACTGCATGTAGAATATCTATTTCTTAGTCAAGAATTAAATAAAAGTTCCAGCAAATCTATAATCATATTTAAGGCAGCTTGAAACAAGATTTTTTTTAAATATAATCTTCATTTTTTGACAAAAGTAGGCAAACGGATTCTAGATACAGTGTTACAGCTGAGGGGCTTTTTATTTTTAAAATGCTAAATAGATTTTTGCATAGCCAAAGGACTTGCTTGGAATGCTCATTTGAGACTACTGACCTCTTTGGTTAAGGTTATGAATGGGGTTTACATTTGCTTGCCAGCAACATTTGTCTATAGTAGCAAGTGACAATTCTAAAATAGAAGGCCAAATCATGGAATCAGTGTTTATGGAGGCTAAACTCTCACTGACCTTAATAAGAAATTCAGGATTTTGCTCACAGCTTATAGGAATAAGGTAAGTAACTATCATGGGCCAGTTTTTCTTTTCAGTTATGTCAATGTACATCTCACTCCATAGATTTCATGGGAGTTATTTTAGAATGATGTATAACGGAGAGAAGAATTTGGCCCTCAAATTTTCACTCTTCCAGGATTCCTTAGCTGACTATGAGGGGGTTCTAATATCAGTGAACCAGGTAAGAGAAAGAGAATGCAATGCAAAGAGAAGAGTTGTATTTAGGAGTGTACCAATAGAGATTTTTGTGGCCAGTATCAACAGCCAATTTTTAAGGAGGCATATCAGCCGATCCCAATCTGATTTCCTATATGCAGCCTGGCAGCTTGAAGAACAGTGCCCAGCTAGTAAGTCTGTTGTGGTGGAAGGGGAGAAAAGAGAAGTGGCGTGGGGAAGGAGGGGGCAGATCAAGGTCCCTGGGGTGAGGGAGGGAGTGGGGCTGAAGCAGGGGCTGACCAGCCAGGGCGGGGCAGGGCATGGGTTGGAGCCACAGCTTGTCCAAGGGGCACAGGGAAGGGAGGGCAGCTCCCGCTGCCGCATGCACCCTGGGAGGGCACGGGGGACATGTGCCCCATGATCTATGTAGGATAGGGCAGGCTGCCGCTGCAGGTTGGGGCTGAGCTGGGCCCAGCCCCCACTGGGAAGAGTCCAGCACAGCCCGGTCCTAGCCTAAAGTGGCAGCCTGCTCTACCCTGCACAGATCCAGGGGCACATGCCCCCCACCATGCCCTCCCAGGGTTAATGCAGCAGTAGGAGCTGCCTCCTCTCCCTGCACCCCCTGGATGAGCTGCAACTCCATCCCGTGTCCCACCCATCCATGGATAGGCAGTGCCTGCCACAGCCTCGCTCCCTCCCTCACCGCAGGGGCCTTGATCTGCTCCTCTGCATGCCCCTTCCCTCCCCACTCGCCTTTCACCACAACAGACTTACCAGGATGCAGCTCTCCATGCTACCAGGCTGTACTCCTCGCCACCTACGTGCATGCACAGGGCGTTTACCAGCCACATCAAGCAAAAAAAGTTAATTTCTGATGCAGTCAATTTTCTTTATATCGGTGCCAATCTCACATCAGACCGATATACTGGTGCACCTCTAGATGTATTTATTATGTAGTTTCTCACAACCTCCCATTCAGTCCCAAACTATTCAAACTACCATCAAACTCTTTTGAGAAAAGAAAGAATAAGTTATTACATAATATAGTACTAGAAGAAAGCAGCATTACTTGCAGTTACTCATCTATTTTAAGTATGTGTATGAAAATTTAGTAAACCAGAATTGGATATCAAAAGTTTGGTAAGAATTTTTCCTAATACTTCTTTGATGTTATGCTTCCATATAGCTCTATTTTTTACCTACTCAAAATTCAAAGTGTTCAATCACTTTAAGTCAACAAGACAGCAAGTTTAAAAATGGAAATGAGGAAAAAACACAACCTGATATAATGGTTTACATTTTTAAATCTCAGTGCAATAGTCAATTTTTTAAAAATATCCCTGCAGGTTTTTGTTTCACAAAATAAAGCAACATGATTGTCCTTCATTTTCAAACAGATTTGTAAATAAAAATGTTTTTCAAATAATCTTTATATTATTTTAGATACTGAGGGAAATTCTTTACAAAATAGATATGGTTTGGTGCAATTTGCACCTGAAAAATGAACTTCAGTAGCTAAAAAGAATACCTATATTTCAGTTGATTTATATACTCAGGAAAATAGAAATACAAGTGCCTTAATTTGTATCTATGTGTCAACTGTATTTGTATTAACATGTTGTAGACTTTACAGTTGCAAACTGCCCTTTTGAAGTTGGTTCTTAACATGAAACATCTGTACTAGAATATCCTGTAATACCCTCCCCACTGCTTGAACTGTTGGTTGTGGGATTCAAATGCTACTTTACTAGCAATGCATATTGACATATTTTTGGAGGGAATATGATGTTGTAACTGACTTCTGGGAGAAGGTATGGTGCCTCCCCCAAAAAAAAAAAAAGGATGCAAGCTAACAGTCTTGCTGAATTACAAGGGGAGAAAGAAGCCTGCATTGAACACTAACTACAGCAAACAGATTAGATAAATTAGCTCCAACCCAAAACTGCAAAGTTAAATTCTCTCCTACACATCTCTGTCCTTCACAATCATTTGTGTCACTAGCTATTTGAATTCTTGTGAACTAGAGACTGGCAAAGTCTAGTCAGTGATCTGCTGCCTAACCAAATAAGAGCTTTTGGGAATGTCAGATCATTAGGTTGCTGGAAAACTGACTCATCCTTTTTTTGGAGCATTTTTAACTGAAAAATGTGTTCTCTTTTATGTTTCTGAACCAAATATTATGCAAGAGAGGTCTGGGAAACTTCTAGGCATGAAGGCTCTCTTGTGCTCACTCCATAGGCCTGGTTTGCACATCTGGCCCCAGGATTGGGAGAGTGAAAAGTATGTTTCAAACTATGTTCAGAGAGGAAGGAGATATAGGAAGCTTGAATTATATTCTCTGCTCCATCACTGGTAACCTTGAACAAGTTGCATAGTTCCTCTATGCCTCACTCTCTCCATCTATAAAATGTTACTGATAATACTACCCTACTTCACAAAAGCATGGTGAAGATAAGTACACAGAAGAGTGTAGGATGCACAGAAACTACGGATATAAGGACATGCAAATACTTCCCAGCTCCTGCACTAAACACAGCTTAGCCAGACCAGAGAAGCACTTAACAAAACAGTAAGCAGTTATTTAAGCTCTTGTATTTAAACCAGCCTCTTACCAATGTAGTTCTTTGACATTGCTACTTCTTTTATTTCAATATGAACTGAGCCTCTTGGGATTTGAACAACTTCCATGTACCCTATAAAGGAAAGGTAAACCTTGTTATTGTTATTACCCTTCAGCTTGAACTTTGAAACTAGCATCTAACAAATTATCCAGTACTAATACTTTACATAGAATCTGAGATCCACTTTTATATGAGACAAGATAACTGAACACTGTTTTTCATGTACCATAATGGAGAACTTTCTATGTTTTGGAGACAATATGAAAACAACAGCAAGAACAGAACAAGCAGCTATAAGTCCCCTGTTTTAAAATACTAATAAAGCCCTTTAAACAATTATTCAGAACTAAATGATTGAACTATGAGTTGACTATTAAACAGAACAAAGTAATTTATTTCAACAAGTGTAAAATAAAGTACTCTTTAAAGTACTTTAATTTGCTTAAGATTTTGATAATGTGAAAAATGTGGACAAATACAGAGAAGCTTCCAGCCCTTTCCTAAAATTTCTTATATGCCCAACCATTAAAATCAACAACACAAAACAAAACTGAGTAAGATTTTATCAACATATAGTTCCCCACAAACCATAATGAATGCATCACAGAAATTATTCAGTTCTTGTTTACATGCACTGAAATCCATGAGAAGAGAACAATATATTGCTATATTTGACATAAAGCCAAAGGGCAGAATCCTGTTTCACTTTATGCACCCAAATGGCAGCTACCTAGCTGCATACCAGCCATTTCTGGAACATTAGCACAGTTTGTGACCCTACTCTATGTGCAGTGCATCAGCACGTATGCTACTGAGCACATATGGTTGTCTGTGCTCAGGCTAGGCAGGTAGTTGGGTCATCATGATTTTCTCCAAGGTGAGCATATGTGCCAAAATTGTGTCCATCAAAAAACCTTGATTAGCAAGTGTCAGATACAGGAGGACGGCCCTCACATGAGGTAGGCCAATAGCCTAGGGCACTTGTCCAGAAAGCAGGAGAGATACTAGACCTTCATACAGACAGGGCTTGAACCTACATCTCTTTAATTTCCTAACTTCAGCATTGTCCAGTCCCTTCTCCAGCCTTCCTTTTTAAGCTGGGTAGCCAAAAGAGGAAGATATGGGACCAGGAAGCAGGGAATTAATTACATTTTGTGGGGCTCAGTAACAGTGCTGCTCTGGAAGGGAAAAGGCCCTTGTCCCCAATTTGGCAGCAACTTCCACATTACTCTCCATATAATTTATCCAATGGCTAGAAAATGTAGCATACAATGGCTCAGCTTCAAGATCAGGACTGGAAAGAGGACTGGGCAGAGCCTAACCTGTGGAAATTATAGCAGGCCCAGGCCCCTGGGGTAGCCGTGATGCCCACTGATGGCCAAGCTACTCTTGCCCCACTCCAGCTCCTTGGGGTGCCATCCTCTTTTCTATCTTTCCTGCCATGTCTTCATGTATCTTATAACACTCAGGGAGGCCACCGTAGGGTCCCAACGTGAGCCTCAGTCTCTCAGATGTCTATTGTCCACATGATTGGTACCAGTCATGCCCATAAATCATTGCCCTCCTGGCCCTATTCATCCGTTAGGGCACAAGCCACCTTAGAGGCAATAATTGTGGCCTCCATCCTCCCCTATAGCCATGCCCATGTCTCAGAGGTGTTATTTTGTATCAGTTCAGAGGGGTTTCCCTGGCCCCAATGCAACACTTGATCCCTTCACGCCTCAAACCTTTGTCAGGGCTTCAGCCATTCTGGCTTTGGCCCCTTTTCTCTAGCTGTGCCCCTCAGCCCAGGTCCACTGCCTCAGACTTCAGCGTTTGGGCCTTAGCCCTTTCTCACCCACTTGGGCTCTGGGCCTCTGGCCCTGGTCTCACCATCTTGGACTCCAGGTCCTTGGCCCTGGTCTCTTGTGACAGCCCCCTGGGATCCCTGACTCAGGCAACCCTTGCTTGCTATTCAGTCCCCTGGAGTCCATGACCTAGGTAAGGCTGCCTGCATGCCACTCAGCCCCCTGAGGTCCCTGACCCGACCCTTGCAGGGCTCTACATGACATGCCTCTCAGGCACCGTTGCAGCTGCCATGCCACCCCATAGCCACAACTCAATCCCCTGGCTTTAAACTCAACCATAATATAAATATAAGCAAACCACTTCCAAGCTAAAATGTATCCCCACTCTGGGTCAATACCCCACCACAATCCATATTTCCTCCTTAGCTGTCTGTCTAGCTCCCTTGGGTAGCTTGGGTGCCTATGGACCTCTCTTGAAACCCCTCTCCATCAAAAGCTCCTTCCCCTGAAACCTGCAGGGCCAAACTGCCCTCCTTGCTCCCGGCACTGGTTTTTATATGGCTCTAAGCACTGCCCCTTCCAGTCAGGTGGCTCCCCAGACACCCACAGGGATTTCCCCTTTGCTCAATGGCCAGCTCACCCTCTGCTGCAGCCCCACACAACAAATTTAGCTAACTGCACTCTCCACTTAAAAGTGACAGGCGCCTGTCTCCCTGTCACAAAAGGCAGAGAGATGCAGGTCCAACCCCACTCTGGAGGAGGAGGAACCTAGAACATGTGTCAATGCTTCCTGAGTGAATGCCCGTGTAGCAAAACACCCAGTTTTTCTTCTTCTTTTTTTTTATTTTAAAATGCATTCCCTCCCCTTCCTCAAACATTTCTGACTTTTTCTCTCCCTCTCTATTCCCTATAGATAAGTATAAGTGACCTCAGACTTAGGATAAGCTTTAAACATTTTTATTTTGGTAGCAAGTTTTTGGTCTTGGATATCCACTGTTTTATATTGTATTATTATTAGGTTTGTATTGATTCTTACTGTTGTATATTGTATTATTATCATTTTCATACTGATTTGTATTGTTTCATATGGATGTTGTATGGTTTAGGCCTGTGTTTGTAAGTGAACCAAAGTCATGTCAAGTTTCCATTTTATACGTCAAGCCTCCATCTTGTGTCCTCTGCCTGGGCATCCCATGTTGCAACTGTATGAGTCACGTACCCCTCCCATGTAAATTGGTTCCTGGATGAATGAGAATAATTGGGAATGATTGAAATACAATGGTAGCAGGCCTCTACTGAATGGCCTGTAACGACTGGGCCATCACCTTGCATTGATTCATGCAGGAACCACGGACCTCACCCAGGAACAGAGACAAGAACCCAGCATTTGAAAGACAAAAGACCCTGCAGAACGAGAAACTCTCACCATTACAGACATCCAAAACTGCACATCCATGCATGGAGCACACATGCTCAGTACACCAGGGGCTGAACCTTGCGTAGGCCT